TTGGCTATATGGCTACAACTGCTGTCACTTCTTGGGTAACATAGGGAGAAAAAGCTCCCACCTCCAGGAAAAGTTTGTGATCAAAAAGACCAAAAACAGAGGCAATATCAAAGCTGAGACAAAAATCACCACTTTGAAAAAATAAAAGTGTGGCCAACGGCCCAGTCTCCTTGCTACACAGGCAGTGTGTGTGCACTGTAGAGGCCTCCAGTAGTGGGTGGGGGTGTCTGCTTTCTCAGGCCCCTCCTCTAGTCACTACTGGTGAGGTGCATAGATAGATATTGAGAAATTAATGGGAGAAAGATTGTCTACTATTTTTGTCTTTGAAGGTCAGTGAGGTATCTGCATGTGCACAGCATAATTCTCAAGATAGTTGCATACTTTTATGTTGGAATTTTACAGATTGTTCATACGGTTTGTCTGTCAGGCCTGACTAATTTGTTTTTTCTAGCTGGATATGCCAGGGTAAAGAGTCCTGGCACAAGTTAATTTTAGGGCTGTGACCCAGAGGCTGATGTCATAAGCAGCCAGCAAAGAATTTGCCCTTAGGTTCGATAGGGCTCTTTCTCTCTGTGCCATGGGAAAACTGTGGGCTCAACGCTGGACCACTTTTCTGAGGGTGCACACCCACCCGCCTGAAGGCGTCTGGGCTGGGCAAAGAAGGTGCAACAGGGAAGAGAAGGAAAAAATGTGTAGAATCCCCCAGCACTTCCTTTTGCAAATGTCACTGCACTGCTTTTAGTGCCGGTTCCCTGTGCCAGTCTGGCTGTAGCCCCTGAACTCTGCCCAGGCGAGGTGGCTGCAGAGGGAATCCTGTGCATAGATCAATTTCTAAATTGTAGTATTTTCCTTTATACTATGATTTTTTTTCACTAGCGTGTGTGGGAAACTGACACCCTGCACCCTATGCTAGATTCAGAGCTCTGGTGCTATTCAGTGAGAGCAGCTTCTCAGGGTTTGCAGTCCCTCCCCAACGGAGCCTGTCCTACCTGACTCTGCCTCAGCTGTTGCCAGAACCAGAAGCTCCCAATTGCCTTTTAAATGGACTTTTTTTTTATATTGTGGTAAAATGTATATAATACAACAATTGTTGTGAAGTGCTGTAAAGTTGGTTCCAACTCATAGCGACCCTGTATAGGGTTTCCAAGGAGTGGTTGGTGAGCTTGAACCACTAACCTTATGATTCAGAATTGCAAGTTTGGTGGTTCAAGCTCACCAGCCACAACATTTGCAGTTCAGCAATTTTTACATGTACAATTCAGAGGCATTAATCACATTAATCACATTGTGCAATCATCTGCACTAACCTTTTCAATATTTCCATCTACCACCATTAACAAAACTCTGTACTCCTTAAGCAGTGACTCCCCCTTTTTCCTCCTTCCCACTCTGGTAACCACTAATAAGCCTTGGTCTGTATACATTTGTCCATTTAAGTGGAATCACACATTTGTCCTTTTAAGGCTTCTCTCAGCAAATGTTTGTAACCCTCACCCTGTGACTGTTGTTGCTGTTGTTTTGTGCCATCAAGTTGGTTCCAACCCTGTGACTCTGCACAGGGTTTCTGAGGAACTTGAACCAATGACCTTTTAGATCAAACCAACTTTTTACAGTTCAGCATGTTAACCCACAGTGCCACAAGAGGACTCCACCACCCATGTCATGGTGGTGGTGATGTGCTGTGGAGTCGGTTCTGACTCATAGCAACCCTGTATAGGGTTTTCATGGCTGTAAATCTTTATGGAATCAGAAAGCCTCATCTTTCTCCTGCAGAACAACTGGTAGTTTCAAACTGCTGACCTTGAGGTTCACAGCCCGATTTGTAACCACTATGCTACCAGAGCTCCTTACCTATGTCATAACCCTCCTATATGATGGAATGTTACTCAGCCATAAAGAGAGATAAAGTTTTAATACCCTAAGTAGGGTATCTTTCTTTATGGCTGAGTAATATTTTTTAAATTTTTATAATATTTTAAATAATATTTTTAATATGACTGAGATAAAGTTTTAAGACCCTAAGTTGGGTTTTAAGTACCCTAGTTAGGGTATTAAGACTTTATTTCTCTTTATGGCTGAGTAATAGTCCATCATATGAGAGGGCTTCAAAAAATTCTTAGAAAAAATGGAATCAAAAGATAATGGAATTTCTCCACGAATTTTTGATTCTCCCTTGAATTTATACACCACATTTTGTGTATCATTCATCTGTTGATGGACATTTGTGTCCACCTTTTGTGAATAGTGCTGTGCAGGCTCCTACACAGTCAACTCGAGTGTTCAGGTTTCTGTTGGGTGTGCATATATAAATAAACAGTATATATAATAGCATATATATGAACAGTTATATAATGTGGATATGTTGTTGCTAAGTGTCATCAAGTTGGTTCTGACTCATAAAGACACTGTATAGGGTTTCCAAGGAGCAGCTGGTAAGCTTGAACCACCAGCTTTGCAATCCAAACAGGCCTTGAAGTCCAGTGCATTAACCCACAGAACCACACCAGTACTCCAATGTAGATATGTTGTTGTTGTTGTTGTTGTTATGTGCTGTCGAGTCGGTTCCGACCCATAGCGACCCTGCACAGGGTTTCCGAGGGTGTAGATATAGAGTTGGATATATATGTGTTGTTGTTGTTCCATCTCATAGAGACCCTGTATAGGGTTTAGGAGGAACAGCTGTTCAAACCAACCTCAAGGCCTAGTGCTTATCCTAAGGTGTCACACCAGGGCTCGGGAGATATATAGAGAGAAACATTCATCCTTCTCAGTAAATGGTGTTATACTATACATGTTTTCTTCACCTTGGAGAGGAATCTATCAAAGTCTATAGAGATATTCTTTATTCTATTTTATACTTTCTCAAGTTCCACTTGAATATATGCAGTTTATTCAACCAATGACATGGAGATTTGGGTCATTTCCAGCTTTTGTTATTACAAATTGTGCTGAATGAATACCCTCCTGTCTCTGTCTTTTTATATTGTTGCTATTCACTGAAACTTTAAAATAAGGAAAATAAATGAAACCAATGGAATGCTTTAAGCCCTTGAATCCCAGGGTAGCTGGCCATGTGTTTAACAGTGTAGCATATTGTTCATTTCAACGATTAAAGACTTTGAAATATTGACATTCCCAAAGCTGTGGTGAGAAAGGGTTGTGAGATTCTTTAGAAAGAAAGCGAGCTGCCTTCCAAAATGAAAAGGGAAGGTAGGACAAGAGAGAACCCATACTGTGAGCTAGGTGCTTTATCTAGCCCAAATCCTTCCTGTTCCCAGCTTGGTATTCGTCCTAATTTTAGAGATGAGGAAACAGAGATGAAGTGACTTATCTAAGATTATTGTTGTGGCGGTGGTTAGGTGCCATAGAGTTGGTTCCAACTCCTAATGACCCCATGTACAACAGAACAAAAATGGCCCGGTCCTGTGCCTTCCTCACAATAGTTATTATGTTTGAACATCTTCCTCTTTTTCACTGACCCTCCACTTTATCATGTATAATATCCTTATCCAGAGACTGGTCCTTTCTGACAACATATCTGAAGTTGTTGTTGTTGTTGTTAAGTGCCATTGAGTCAGTTCCAAGTCAGAGTGGCCCTGTACAGGGTTTTCAAGGAGCACCTAGTGGATTTGAACTGCCAACCCTGTGGTTCCCAGCCCAGTGTTGATCCTACAGTGCCATACCAGGAGTCCTTTCTGACAACAGGTCGGAAGTAAACAAGATGAAATCTTGCAGTGTTTCAATGTGTGATTAAGACATTAAATAATATCTGACAACGGAATCTGAAATTATGCTGTCATGGGCTCATTGATTTCCTCATTGCTGCCTAGTGGCTAAGAGCTCAGACTCTAGAGTCAGTCTGGTTTTTTCACTAACAAGTTGTGAGAACTTGGTCAAATGATTTAACCATGTTTGCTTTCATTTTCTCATTTATAAAATGAGGATTGCTAATAATACCTTCCTGTTATGATTGTGGTGTGGATTAAAGGAGTTAATGGCTATATATTGCTTAGACTGGTGTCTGACACATATGATGTCCCATGGACATACATGTGAGCTCACTTTACTACTAGAACTTCATTACTGAGTCAGCTGTATCAATGGAGCACCTGTCATGGGACAGATTTGCTAGTACCTGGTCAGGATGCAATGATGAACAACTGAAAGGGCCCCCGATTTCACAGTGCCTACAGTCCAGTAGAGGACACAGACATTACTAGATAACCACACAGACAATGATAAAACCCCAAATACAGGCAGGCCCAGAGTTACGAACAATAGCCATTCCTAACTGTGTCTTTAAGAATTTGTCAGGGATTCAGCTGGTTCCGCCCAGCTCAATCATGGCATGGAACATCACTGGAACAGATTGAAAATGTTATGAAGTTACAGTGAACCAGATAGATAGCCACTGGAGGAAAAATGACTGATTGAAGTCTTGCTAGAAACTTAATCTCCCTCTTATAGGAAAACAGCTAAGGGCTGCATAGAAATGAACTCTCTTGCCCTATATTTTGAACACATTCCAAAGCAACAACACCCCACTTAAAGATGATAGCCAACCTCTCTACTTTGCATGTGTTTTGCTCTCCTGCAGTCCTGCCAACAATCCAGTCTCATGCTTTAAGCTCCTGGATGGTCTCAGCACACCTCTTTCCTAGTCTCCTGGTCCCAGGCTTTAACCCATTATGTTTCCAGATCTGGGTAATGTGCTGAATCTGCCAAATTGTAAAACATCAAGCCTGCTCCTGTTTCACTCTGTTGGCCATGACAGAACTGGTTTAATGATCAAGTCAAAGTTGTCTGTAATGTGTTGGACATTCATATGCCCAGGACTTCCTTGCATAGAAAGGGAACCCTATGGAAAATAGTCATCTACTGAGCTCCTGGCTCCCTTTGAGGAGAGTTTCAGAGCTTTCTGCATCTCCCCAGATCTTTGCGTCTCTGAACTGTACCCTGAGAGACTACCTACCTCTCCTCTTTCTCTCCTACGAATGCAGCTGGAATACACCGCCCGCCTGGACTTCCTGTGGCGAGTGCAGGCCAAGGAGGAGATCAATGAGATGAAGGAGTTGAGGGAGCACAACGAGAACATGCTCCGGAACATCCTGCCCAGTCACGTGGCCCGGCACTTCCTGGAGAAAGACCGAGACAACGAGGTGAGTCCAGGCTCAGCCAGCCAGCCCCAGCGGTGACATGGGAGGTGGACAATGGACACATGGATGCATGCCCAGCTCTGGGAGAACCTTGTATGAGTTCCTGAGAATGGAGACCATGCCACCACATAGCTCCAGGTCTGTGAACTAGTATCACTGTGACCATATACGTAGCTCTCTCTGTCTCATGTGCCTCCCCAGTAATTCTACTGTAAGGTAGATTTAGCAAATTCTTCATCTCAGAATTGAATTAGAATGCTGGAGATTTACATGTCTGCATGCGTTTAACTATTGTCTAGCTTGTTGTTGAGTGCTATCAGTCAATTCTAACTCATGGCAACCCTGGAGAGCATGCGTGGGGAACCTTTTCCTGCCAAAATTTATAACATCATTCACCAGCCATACAAAATGATCAACTTAAAAATTAGCCTGCTCTATTTGGTCAAACATTTAATTAACTCACCCCTAAGGTGATGGTTGAACCGACTCCAAGGCACATAACAACCATAACAAGGTGATGGTTGGAACTGCAGTTGCCTTGTCAGAGTCAGACCAAATGATTTTGCTGCCTGGACATTCCTCACCCCTGCTGTATAGGGTTTCTAAGGAATGGCTGGTGGGTTTAAACTGCTGGCCTTGTGGTTAGCAGTCCAGTGCTTATCCTACAGTGTCACACTATTGATGTGTGTGTTTGTGTACATATATATTTATATAGAGCAATGCACAACTACCACTCATCTGTCAATGGAAGCTTCTAGATTGCTATGATGCTGAACCAGTGGTGTTTCCATTAAGGAAGACTATGAAGAAAAGCCTGCTGGTCTTAACCTCAACCAGCGTGAACCCTGTGAACCATGGCACATCATTATGCATGGAGCTGCTAACAACTGTGAGAGACAGATAGCTGCAAGGGAGTTTCAAAACCTCATAGAAAAATGGAATTAAAAGATAATGGAATTTTCCACAAACTTTTTGAAGCTCCCTTGTATTTGTATGTTGTTGTTAAATACTGTCGAGTCGGTTCCGATCCATAGTAACCTAGTATAGGTGTTCTGAGGAGCGACTGGTGGGTTTTAACCACCGAACTTGAGGTTAGCAGTCCAGTGCTTATCTTATAGAGCCACACCAGGACTGTTGTCTATGTGTTTTTAAATATACATGTGTATTCATGTATATGTTTATATTTATATATATGTTAGTGTACATATACAAGGGGACTTTGGAAAATCTGTGGGGGAAATTCCATTATCTTATCATTTCATTTTTCCATGAACTTTTTGAAGTCTCCTCCTATGTGTGTATGTATGAATATGTATGTATGTATGTGTCTCCTTAACACATTTCCTAGGATGTTGTTGTTGTTGTTAAGTGCCATGCAGTCAGTTCAACACATAGTGACCCTGCATAGGGTTTCTGAAGCATTAAATCTTTTGCTGAAGCAGAAAGCCTCATGTTTCTCTTATGGTGTAGCTGGTGGACTCAAACTGCTGATTTTGTGGTTCACAGTGCAGTGCTTACCCCCATCGAGCTATTGTGTTCCTCACAAAATCGTTTTACTTAAAACTTGTTATATTGTACCTTAATGGTTGCTCAGTGAAGCAAGTTCAGCTACCAGTTTCATTTGTCCATTCTCTGACCTTTGCTTAGTCCCAAGCACCCCTAAAGATATCCAACTAATGTAGCATGTACTGTGCTCCCACATTATTTTGCACTGCAATGAGTAATGGGGCACAGGGTAGAGAGACCACAGGCACCCTAGGGTCTCCAGGGGGAGGATAAAGACCAGAGTAGAGGTATCCTAAGTATAAGGTCTCCAAGAGCTTTGAAGAAACTTGAGCAATAGGGAGGTAACAGTGATTATCCCCAGTTCATAGACAAGGAAGCTGAGGCTCAAAGAAGGAACGTAACTTGCCCAAGGTCAAAAAGTGAGTAATGATTTCAATTTCAACCCCAGACACGTCTAAAGCTAAAGTGTTCTTTGTCCTCCTGCACCTCATTGTTCATGCATGTTGGGGGATAACAAAAGGTGACTCAAACAGTCAAACATTGGGTGGTAGACAGTGTTTCACTCCCTAGAAGCCTGTTCTGGCTGTGTCACCTCCACAGAGTTCCGGCAATCTCTGCTAGTCTCCTGAGCTTTGGGCTTAGACTAGCACTCACCAACCCTGGGCAGGACTCTCTCACAGAGAAGGTCATCTGAGGCTCATTGTGGTGTCATCAGTGGTAAGCAGAGTATCGCTGAGACCCAGGAACCAGCCTGCTCTCAATGGCTTTGTTAAGAACTGTTGGAAGGATACTAATAAAGACAGCCCAGCTCAAGCAAAGGGCCTCCATTTGGAGAGCCTGCCCATAGAAATTTCACCCACCTCTACCACTAACTGACTTACCCCTATCTTTGGGCTCATTTCTTTGGTGAATGAGGGAAGTAAAACCAACCTTGTACAGTTGATATGAAAACTAATGGATACAAACATAGTAAGAAAAACTGTTGTTTTTGTTAAATGCCATCAAGTCCATTTCCATTCATAGTGACCGCATGTGACATAGAACTGCCCCATAGGGTGGCACAGTGGCAGCAACAATGGGCTCAAGCACAGGAAGCCTGGTGAGGGTGGCGTTGGCCCTGTCAGTGTTCCATTCGGTGAGTTGTGAGTTGGAATAAACCAGATGATACCTAACAACAATAACAGCCATCTTTGCTGGGGAGATCACAAGGGGGCTTTCTCCCATGGACCATGGGGTGGGTTTAAAATGCCAGTAGCTGGAGTCCCAGCATAGTACGTAGGATAAGCACTCAACCATATGGTCAGTTTGAACAGCAAGGTCAGTGGTTCAAACCCACTAGCCATTCCTTGGCAACTCTATCTATACAGGGTTACTATGAGTCGGAACCGACTTGAAGGCACTTAGCAACAGCTAAGCACTTCGTTATCCTAAATTCAATTCTGCCACCTCTTCTCACTACCTCTGTGACTTTTAGCAAGTGAGGAACCTCATTGAACCTCAGTTTCTCCATTTATAAAGGGAAGGTAGCAATATTAACCAACTTAATCCAATCATTATCACAACGATGCGAGTTATTCTGCATAAAGCACTTAAACAACAGTTGGCATGGTTGAAGTGCATGGCAGGTCTTAGCTATTGGTATTTTCACTAACTGTGAGCCAGCCTTCTATTTTCTCCCCTACTTCTCAGGTAGCCCCACTGCCCATTAATTCATGAATCCATTTGTGCAACAACTTTGTGCCAGGTATTCTAGATTGTTGCTGTTGTTTTCAAGTGCCGCCAAGTCGGTTCTGACTCACAGAAACCCTGAATGGAGTTTCCGAGGCTGTAAATCTTTATGGGAGCAGAGAGCCTCATCTTTCTCCCAGGTGTTTTAGCTACTGGGGATGAAATGGCTACCAAAGTCCTTGCTGTTATGAAGCTTATATTTTCATACACAGACAGTGAACAAGAGTAAACTCATGTGTGCCATGCAGTGTTACGTTCTGTGTGGCTAAATCAAGGAAGGTAATGTTGTGGTTGTTGTTAAGTCCCATCCAGTCGGTTCCAACTCATCATGACCCTGTATAGAGCTTCCAAAAGTGACTGGTGGATTTGAACATCCAGCCTTGTGGTTAACCATCCACTGCTCATCCTACAGTGCCACACCATGGCTCAAGAAGGGAATTGGGTGTGTGAAACAGGTGACAGTTAAATGACACCTCCCTGCCATCAAATCCATTCATCAGGACAGGGTTCCTGATGCTGCTGATCTTTACAGGAGTAGACAATCTCATCTTTCTGCTGTGGAGTACCTGGTAGATTTCATCTGCTTACCTTGGGCTTTAGCAGCCTAATTTGCAACCCACTCTGCCATCAGGGTGCCTAAAAAGCCACAAAGAACAGTAGTAAGTCAAGACATCTTGGGCATTGCTTCTTCTCTGCAGACAGGTGGCTTCACTTGCTGCAAGAAGCACAGGCTTGGGCCAGTGAGTGGTACACTAGAGCTCCCCAGGTAAACAGACCACCGGGTTCTTCACACTGGCAGAAGGCCAGGGTGGGGTGCTCATGTTCAGAATCCACTACAAAGCCCAACCCTCTTCACCTCATCAGAGAATGGTAGCTTTTCTATATTCATCCATCCCTCCCCAGCTTACAAAATGTTTTTTTTTATCATCTTTGAGTCCCAAATAGCAAGAAACAGATGGTGCATTGTGACAGGCTGATGGGAGTGAGTTGGAGGAAGGGGCTCTCTCTAAAGGTGTGGGCAGGTAGGCTATGGCTTGTTCGTGTGTCCCTCCAGATCCCCACACCCCCTCTCTCTGTGTGCTGCTTGAGGTGCTGGCCAAGAAGAGCTATGTCAGTGATTGCTCATGCCCTCTGGCACCCAGCTGATGCTGCCAATGGGGGTGGGGAGTGAGGGGAGGTGATCAGAGGTCAGCAGGAGGAGGTCAGGATTTGTATTCCTGTGGTTCCTTCCCTTGGACATCTGAAGCTGGCTGTGTCCCTCCACAGAAAGTCACTGCCTTTTTCAAGGCCACTGTTAAGCTGCCCCAATGTCAAATCAACTTACTCTTTGGGGTTCTTCTCATCCATTGGAAACTGGGCTGATGACAGCTAACCCTGGGATTCTGAAGGATATCTCAAACCCTGAAGGATTGTTCAAGGCTCCCCTACATCTGTCCTTATGTTTATAATCATTTTCATTGCAAATGAACCCTCCTTGAATTATCGTCATTTGTATGTGCCACCTGTTTTCTATCAGGTCCCTAATTGAAGCCACAGGAATAAGGAAGGGAGGATCAAGTCTCACGGGATAGGAAATGGTGGAAGACTGTTATCACACCCAGGTCGGAAGTCACAAGCAGTAAACGAGATCTTTGAAAGCCAATGAGCATTACAACTGTAGGAAAGGCAGCCAGTAAGATAGGAATTGACATTTGTGCATTGAATTTTCCTTTTCCACAGGCATGCTGACCTGTTCTAGATTCATTTCATTTCAGCCTAGATGTGAACGGACAGTAAGAGACAGGCAATGGAGAAAATGAATTTCAGAACTTTGAATGCAAAGATGAAGGAAACTGGCTGGTAGCCAAAGGACTCTGCAGGATGCAGGAATACACCATTACTGTACTTCTAGGAAACACTAAGGGGAGGGAAAGAGATGGAGAGGAAGAGGGAAGAAAAAGAAGAGAAAGAAAGCTATCCCTGCTGGAGCACATTCATGAAAAACTCAGAAGGGGTTCAAGAGCTTAAGTAGAAGTGTTGACCTTCAACAGAAGATGGAAAATCCCCATCTGAAGTTGAAGTTCAAAAGATGGAAATCAATTTGAATGCAGACAAGTGTTCACATACTGAAAGAAAGGTCGCCAGCAATAGCTGTGTTTACCCAATGAAATAAAGACAAGACCACCACTCTTCTACTGAGAGGAAAGCAGCTGAGGGATAGATAGTTGAGGAGAAAAGTAAGAGTTTGGAGAAGTCATTGAGGAGAACAGAAATGGGAGCTGACCAAGGACAAAAGAATGAGCAGTCATAACTCTTGAGTCCAGGAAAGGCTGGAGACCAGGAATTTGCCAGGGTCTCAATCCACATGGCAATGGCACTGTGGTTGTGGTGATGATCCCTGCAGAGCTCCCTGTCTCTGTCCTCTCTGTGATTACCTGGGCAGGTATATGGGTGCACGTATGCACAGGTAATATCACTAACAGAACCTCACCTCTGATAAGTTTCTGGTTCCTTCTGTGTGTCTATGTCTAGGAGCTGTATTCTCAGTCCTATGATGCTGTTGGAGTGATGTTTGCCTCCATCCCAGGGTTTGCTGACTTTTACTCTCAGACTGAAATGAATAACCAAGGAGTGGAATGTTTGCGCTTGCTGAATGAGATCATCGCTGACTTCGATGAGGTAAAACTAAACCTCTGAAATGTATAATCACAAATGGGCAACACCATTGTTATCCATTGTAGTGATGACCATGGACCCAATCATATTATTCATTGTAGCAGTGCCTGCTCTTGGTGCTTACAGAAATGCCAGGTGACCATATAAATGCTGGCACGCATTATCTAATTTCACTCTCACAGTTAACACATGAGATCCATGCTATTGTTTGTCTGTTTTAGAGATCAAGGAAGTAAGCCTCAAAGAGGCTACAGCAAATGGCACAACAAGTGCTAGATCAGAGGTCTTTCTGACCTGAATGTGACTCAGGTACTGCCATCATAGAGGCGGAGCACTTTGGGGACCATTTCTTCCTCTGCTCAAAATGCCAAAGATGAAAGCATCAGTGAATGTTTGGTCAGAGAGCTAAATAGAAGTATTCCAGGGAATACTTTATCCTTCCAGATTCCATGAGCCTACAGAACACATCCTATGGGAGAAAATCCTCATGCTGCACTTTATATAAGTGGACATGGCAGGAGTGGACCGTCTCCTCCCACATCCCTCATCATGAAGGACACCAATGCCCACCCACACTCACAGCCTGAGATGGGAACTAAGTGACTCTTTGAGAAAATGCTAGAAAATAAACCAAGCAATGATATGGGTCCAGCTGAAGTGGAGCCTCAGCCTGACCCCATGAGGAGCTCACACACCACAGAGCTGTCTCACGTTGAAGCCAAGGAGTCAGGTTTTTGCATACTGGCATTGTTCAGCCATTGACCTAGCCTCTCAAGTATTGCCGGCAAGGGGTTTTCCATTGACCCAGAGAAAGTCTCCCAAAAAAGGGTACAGCAATGCATGGTCATCAGCCAACACTCGCAGCAAGTGGAGGTAACCCCATAAAGGGGACCATCCTGAAAACTCTTCTCTCCTTCAGGCCCCACTGAGATTTATGAGTTTCTTCTTCATAATTCTCAGACCTGCACCTTTCTCTCCATCTCTTGCCTTATTGTTATCGTTGTGAAGTGCCGTCAAGTCAGTGTTGACTCATTTTGACAACAGAACGAAACACTGCCTGGTTCTACATCATCCTCACAATTGTTATGTTTGAGCCTAACCCTTGCCTTAGTTCAGGCCATATTACCTTTTACCTAGACAACTCCAATATCTCTCTCTTCATCCCATGGTGAGCATCCTACCAGAAGCAGGAGCATTTTGCCACATTCCTTGGATGTTTAAAACCATCCAATAGCTTCCCTTGCCATCCCTTTAGCAGGTCACCTGAGGGCTGACACTAACTGTCCCTGTGACCCCTCTGGCCTTGCCTCCCCTGCATGCCCCTGACCTTTAGCACCATTTGACTACTTACAAGCTATTGAGCCACCTGGCTATGCCACATTCTGCTGTTTCTGACTAAAAAAGTATGCCCTCCTCATCCCCACCCACCCTCTCACCGTCGACTCCACTGCTGACTGAAAATCTCCTACTCGTTTAAGAGTCAGTGCAAACCCCACCTCACATGTGAAGCCTTTCTAACCCCTGGTCTACCCAGGTAAATGCTATCACCCCTCTTTCAAAGGAAAACGTATACTCTGAAAAACCCTTCCTTCAGAAAGCCTGAAGCCCTCTACAGCAATCCTATTTATGGGTCTGTGTCTACCACTAGCTTCCATGCTTATGAGCAGAGATCCATATTACTAGTCTCAGTGCCCACAAAGTGCTGCCACAAACACTAAGTGTTTTCAACATAACATTTCATTTCATTGGTATTTGACCCTTATCCCAAGCCCATGGAATAGGAACCGTTGTTATTAGGTGCAGTCAAGTCAATTCTGACTCTTAGCGACCCTATGCACAACAGAACAAAATACTACCCAGTCTTGCTCAATCCTCACAACCGTTGTTAAGCTTGAGCCCATTGCTGTTGCCACTGTGCCAATTCAACTCATTGGGGGGTCTTCCTGTTTTTCACTGACCCTCCACTTTACCAAGTGTGATGTCCATCTCCAGGGACTAGTCCCTCCTGATAATATGTCCACAGTATGTGAGACAGAGTCTTACCATCCTGGCTTCAAAGGAGCATTCTGGCTGTTACATCTTCCAACACAAATGTGTTTGTGTTTCTAACAGTCATGGTATCTTTAATATTCTCCTCCAACACCATTCCCATCTTCCAAGCAAGGCCATAAGCTTACTGAAGATAGAAACATGTTTATTTTGCTTCCTGTTAGGCCCCCAGAGCCCTGGAGGTTCATAACAGATGCCTACAATGTATTCAAGGAAGAAATCAATGTAATTAATTAATGTGAGCAGCAACTAGCTGGCAAATAGTAAAGTGAAAATGGACTAGAGCAATTCATGACACACTTTCAAATCAAAAAGAATGTTGTTAAGTGTTGTTGTTAAGACTCACAATGACCCTGTATAGATAGGGTTTCTGAAGAGTGGCTGATGGGTTTGAACTGCTGACATTGTGGTTAGCGGTCCATTTCTTATCCTATGTTGCTGTTGTTGTTAAGTGCCATTGAGTCGGTTCCAACTCAAATCAACCCTGTGTAGTGTTTCCGAGGAGCAGCTGGTAGATTTCAACCACTGACCTTGTGGTTAGCAGACCAGTCCTGATCCTACAGCGCCACACCAGGAATCTAATATCCTATGGTGGTGGTGGTGGTGGTGGTGGTGGTGGTTATGTGCCATGGAGTCAGTTCTGACTCATAGCGACCTGTACAGGGTTTCCAAGGCTGTAAATCTTTATGGGAGCAATATCCTATAGTGCCACATACACACACAAAAACAAAAACAAAAACAAAAACAAAAACAAAAAAACCCACCAAACCCTGACTAACAGTTAAGGCATCAGACTTTGTTTTATTTTAAGCATTATAGCACCACACACCATAAGAGCTTTGTCCAGTATGTCTTTAAATTGTAATAAAGAAAGTAAATTTGAACTAAATTTGCATTATGTGTGGTGCCGTGGTTAGAGTGCTTGGCTACTGACCCGTGGCTCCATAGAGGAAAGGTGTGGCTTTTGCCTTCCTGTAAAAATAACGCCTGTCCTGTAGGGTTACTATACATTGGAATTCACTCAATGGCCCCAAACCAAATGGCTCCAGACACCCTATGTTGTTGTTGTTGTTATTAGGTGCCATTGAGTTGGTACTGACTCAGAGCGACCTTATGCACAGCAGAACAAAACACTGCCCGATCCTGGGTCAACCTCACTATTGTTGCCACGCTTGAGCCCGTAGATGCTGCCATTTTGCCAATACATCTCGCTGGGGGTCTTCCTCTTTTTCTCTGACCCTCCACCCTACCAAACATGATATCTTTCTCCAGCAACTGGTCCCTCCTGACAATATGTCCAAAGTATGAGAGACAAAGTTTGGCCATCCTGGCTTCCAAGAAGCAAGCACTCTGGCTCACTTCTTCCCGAAATCAGAGGTGTGGGGACAGCACTCCTAGTGGTAGAGATGAGTTATTGAAATCAGGCTATTGGAGCTAGGAATAGAGTGGGTGATTGGTCCAGGAGGCTGTCTCCTTCAGAACAAGGAGTATAGGCAAAGAGGAGGGAGAGGAGGATGGGGGGAAGAGGAGGAAGGGGTTAGGAGTAGGAGGAACAGAAGGTGAGAGAAGCAGAGATGAGTAGGAGCAGGAAGAAGAGGAAGGAAGAGAGGAAGAAGAAATGCAGAGAGAAAAGAGAAAAAAAGCTGGGAAGAAGGTAAAAAAGGAAACAAATACCACTCGCTGGCTTGCCCACCGCAAGCTTTCCTCATGTGTCTCTCTTGGTCACCCTGACATGGCTTGCTTATTTGTCTGGGTTGGGAAAACACGAGCTCCATCCCAACTCCCTGGGGTTCACAATACTGCAGCTCACTGCTCTTCTGGCAGCTAGAATTAGCACGGACGCCTGAGATCAGGACTCAGAGGAAGGCTTCCCCTCACAGGGCACACTGTGTTTGCAAAGGCCCTGTGCGGGGATCCTCTCACCAGCACCCCACATCTCAGTCTCCATGCTGACTAGCTAATTAATAAAGGGGCTGACTGGAGACCACATATGTCCCCGGATGCTTTTGCTATATTGTAGGTAAATTTGCTGCATGGAAATGAAATGAGATAATGAATCTTCTTCCTGGCTGCTAATCGACTTCTGAGGAGGAAGCAGCTCTGCCTGGGCCTGAAATTGGCCCTGGGCCAAATGATTTTGACCAGAAGGAAGGAAGGACCCATGGTGTAGGACCCCGTCCAATCATCCAACAGCCAGCAGGAGCTGGGAAGATGCAGGTGTAAGGACGCAGAGCGAGGGGATGAGCAAGTGGAACCTTCCAAGAGCTGAGCTAAAACATTAACAGCTGAAGGGCAGTTAAAGACCAAACCTGTTTGATGGGGGCGTCTGAGGGGAAACGTTGGTCATGAGGCAAAACATGAGGACCTGCTGCGTAGCTTTCTCCTCTCGGCACAACATGCACACAAGCAGGCTGGGAGGAACAGTCTTTTCAGTTGAGCTCAGGAAGCCAAAGGCTGCCCAAGCAGTGAATAGAGGTACACACCCATACACACTCACACTCTCATACACACTCACAATACTCTCACATGCTCACACACATGCTCACTCACTGATACACACACTGCCATGCATTCTCTCACACTCACATACTCACACACACACGCCTTAACACATGCCTTAACACATCTTTCCACATGCACACATACACTCGCACACACATACTCTGGCACACATACTTGTATACACTCTAACACACACATACTCTGGCACACACACATCCTCACACACACACCCAGTGCAAATCACAAAAATACCTGCCTATGTTTTCCATTTTTCTCCACAAAGTCTTCTTAGTTCCTGATTACTTTTGAAAGGATGCCCATAGCCAACTCTTCTATAGATAACCCACCTTGCTCTCTCTATCTGGCCCATCTGTCTGCCCACCCTTAGATGCAGTGAGCCCCTGAGGATATCATAAATGTATTAAAGGAAGGCAAAGAGTTGGAGAAGCCGAAGTTGCATCTAAATACCTGCCAACAATAGGAAAATCACTGTATATTTGGACTTGGGAATCAGAGAGATTTAAGTTCTGAAACTAATTCCTCCACCAGTGTCGGCTTCCGGGGCTCTAAGGGAAAAGGATTCCAGTAGGAAAAACAGCAAAAGGAGCCTGGCTTGTTTCAGGACCAACAAGGAGTTGCAATGTGGCCAGAGAGGAATGTGTGAAGGGGACAATGAGGGAGGAGGCTCTGCAGGTCACAGTAAGGACTCTGATCTTGACTGTGGTAGGACAGGAAGCCAATGGGAGAACCATGGCTGAGTTATGTTTGAATGGGCTTGCTCAGGCTACCATACTGGGTCTGTGTGGACAAGAGCAGAGATGACAGGCCATTGCAATGGTCCACATGAAGGATAATGGTGACTCCAACCAGGGTGCTGGCAGGGATGTGGTGAGCCATTGTAAGATTCCAAAAACGTTTTGAAAGGAAAGCTATAAACTTTCCTGATGGACTTGGTACTTTTGTCTTTAAACTAATAAGGAGTTGTTGTTATGTGCCGTTGAGTCAGTTCCAACTCATAGTGACACTGTATAGGGTTTCTGAGAGCAGCTGGTGGGTTTGAACTGCCGACCTTGCAGCTAGTAGTCAAGTACTGATCCTACAGTGCCACACCAGGGCCTTTTTTATTTCAGAAATCCACAAAAATGTTTCAACATTCTGGAGAGGATCTGTTGTCACTCAGCTTGGAACTTGGCAATTCATAGGTGCTCCATAAATACACGTGGGCTGACCCAGTATATGATCCCCAGAGAGAAAAACCATACCTTGTGATGCTCAGCCAGTTTGAGGTCCATCACTCTGAGATCCAGGGCTGGTTCTCAGGGTCCAGCCAGCCAGAGAGACAAATGCCAGGACTAACATTGTTTACTAACACTGTTACCTGGGGCTCTTTCAGTTGCTAGGTGAAGACCGGTTCCAAGACATTGAGAAAATCAAGACCATCGGCAGCACCTACATGGCAGTGTCGGGTTTGTCTCCTGAAAAGCAGGTAAAAAAAAAAAGTTCTACCACACCTGTGTCAGGAGCCCCACTCTTTTTTTTTTTAAGATTTTTGTGTGAATTGAGTGATAGTTTACATGGAAGAACATCGGTTTTACACTTATCGTTTCATTGCAATGATTACAACCCCCTCCATACATCATCATTCAACAGTATTTGCTTCTATTCCCTCTGTGTGTTTGTTTTTGTGTATGTGTTTTTGTTTTGAGTTGTACACAAAAACACTCAGGAATATATAATCATGTAAACAACCAAAGGGCACATTCTGCAAGCCTGACTCCTGGCTGTCAGCACACAGCCTTTCTCTTTGCATGAGTCTAGAGTCCTCAGCTGCTCTATCTCTTCATGTCGTCATGTCTTCCTCCATCTCTGGTGTTGCTGCTTCTCTGGATAGGGTCCCACATTCTGTTCATGCGCTTCTCCCTTGGTGGCTCTAGGGTCCTCTGTTCCTGGACTGTAAGATTAGCTACTCCCCCCTTTTTCTTACAAAAATTCTACCTTTACAGTTGTGACAGTCACAATTAATAATAACGGTTACTCACTATTAAATTATAAGAATCTTATCCCCATCTCCTTTCACCAGATTCATCTAGACAAGATGAAAATTACTCAGTGAGGATTCTACCTCCCCACACACACTCTGAAACTAAACTCCCTCTTGAAAACTTGCAGGCCAGTCACTTTGTTCCTTTATTGTCCCCCCATTTTTGATAGCCAATGTTTAAGTTGCCCATCCCTATCAACCCTGTATACAGAGGGGATAGGATTGATACTCGATTTGAAGACTCCTTCCCTCCCAGTTGGTATTTTGAGCTACTACATCCATAAGTATAGGTCAAGTTCATCAAATTGCAGCAATTTATACTTGTTTCCTTTATCAATATTTTTTTTTATTTTTCTTTTATTTGGTTTTGTTCTTCAGGCCTTCGAGGTTGGTTCAATGGATACCATCTACAAGTTTGTACATCTCCCCTCACCTAGGAGCCCCACTCTTGTTGGGACATCAAAGACCTCTATCACCAGCAGGCTTTGGGGGGCAGTGGGGATGAAATCTGATGAACCGGATATTCTGGTTGTGAAATGACTGTTTGAGAGGATGCTTCTGCAAGTCTAAAAAACTTCTAGGCTTCACTGTGAACCTCACTGGTCACTTGGTGAATGAAAGCAGGGCCAGAAATGCCTGTGATTTAATCATGAATGCTGCTAAATCCCTGATAGTTACCTCTTTCCTAGTCTTAGATATTATTTCTCCCCCCAAAGTAATATGTGATGAGAGTAATGTTGTTGTTAAGTGCCATTGAGTATGTTCCGACTCATAGCAACCCTGTGTAGAGTTTCCCAAGGAGTGGCTGTTGGTAGTGGGGGAATTAACAATCTACAGTCCAGGGTTGTTGTGTGCCATTGAGTCGGTGCTGACTCCTAGTGACCCTGTAGAGGGTTTCTAAGGCTGTACATATTTTCTCCCATGGAGCAGCTGGTGGGTTTGAAGTAGTGACATTGAGGTGTGCAGTCCACCAGTGCTTAGCGGGTGGGTTAGCTGAGATAGGATCATGCTCCCCATCACAGACCTCGCACCAACTAGGTCCTCAAGAAATAAATGTGAAACCCAATTGTAGGGTGTGCAGGAAGGCTCATTCATTTCTTCTCATTGTCTCTGCACTTTCTTCCAGGACTTGGAACTGGTCCAATCTAGTTTGACACCCCACCCCCGTTCAGAATTTGCCTTTCCGCTCAAGATAACCTGAATCTGAATCTACATTGTAACTAGCTCCCCAGGTGGTTCTTACAGATTCCCAGGTGATCCTTATGTACTCATACCTGGGGATCTTGTGAACTTACAGATTCTGATTCCATCTATCTGAAGCAGAAATGCAAATTCTCAGCAAGAGGTCAAACCTGAGTGAACCCGTCCCAAGCCCTGCTTTTCTTCCCAACTAAAAACCTTAAAGTACTCTGAAAGCAACACCAGATAGATTTGGTGCTAGTGGTTTGGTACATGTGGCTGCTACTCTATAGTACAGATTGGCTAACAATGGTCTGCAGGCCAAACTCAGCCCACTGCCTGCTTTTGTAAATAGCATTTGGTTGGAGATCAGCCACACTCATTCATTTATATTGTCTATGGCTCATTTCAAGCTACAATAGCTGTGTTGAATAATCAGAGCAGAAACCAGCTGGCCCCAAAGCCTAAAATATTTAATATCTGACCTTTTTCTGAAAATGTTTGCCAACCTCTGCTCTGTGGAACTACGCTTTCACATGCATGCTTTCATTTGTTTCCTGTGTGGTAATCTGGGCAAGTGAACGTGTACCCATTTTACAGATGAGGAGACTGAGGTTTAGAAAGGCACAAAGGTGTACCCAGAGTTTCTCAGATGGTGAATGACTGCACTTCCCTCAGATGTTTGAAGAGCAAATGTCTGTGTGTCCATCCTTAAGGCAGATACTGTGAGCACTTCAAAGGAGACACAGTTCCTAGACAGGAAAAATGGCCCATACAAACATGTCCTTGCACGTGCTTGCACACTCCAGTGGACATGCTCAGGGATTCATGATGTGTTCACTTGAATGCGCATGGAGAAAGGAAAATAGTGGTCCACATGTATGTCCTGTCCTCCTTTAAGCCTCATGTTACTCCAGCTTTCTGGAATGATGATGGCTTGACTCTGCAGTGGCTCCCATGTGTGGTGGTTTTCTTCCAGGGATGAATGGATAGGTAAGGGGTTAGGACATAAAGCAGTCCACTCGACAGAATGTTAATGCTCACTCTGTTCAATACACTCTTCCCTTGATTTTGCTTCAGCAATGTGAAGACAAGTGGGGTCATCTGTGTGCCCTGGCCGACTTCTCACTGGCCCTGGCTGAAAGCATACAGGAGATCAACAAACATTCCTTCAACAACTTCGAGCTCCGGATCGGTGAGTAGCAGCTGGGCCACAAACACACGGCCACAAACACAGTCACGTGGGCTGCAAACATTGCACCACAAAGGTGTGGACCGCAACACTAGACCACAAACACATGGACCACAATAGTAGATCACAAACACACAGATACAAACATAGTCACGTGGGCTGCAAACATTGCACCACAAAGGTGTGGACCACAATACAAGTCCACAAACACGTGGACCGCAATAGTAGATCACAAACACACGGCCACAAACACAGTCACATGGGCTGCAAACATTGCACCACAAAGGTGTGGACCGCAATACAAGTCCACAAACACGTGGACCGCAATAGAGATCACAAACACATGGACACAAACACAGTCACGTGGGCTGCAAACATTGCACCACAAAGGTGTGGACCACAACACTAGACCACAAACACGTGGACCACAATAGTAGATCACAAACACACGGATACAAACACAGTCACGTGGGCTGCAAACATTGCACCACAAAGGTGTGGACCACAACACTAGACCACAAACATGTGGACCGCAATACAAGTCCACAAACACGTGGACCACAGTAGTAGATCACAAACGCATGGATACAAATATTAGAACACTCGCATGGGCTGCAAACACAACAACACAAAGACATGGATAACAAACATGTGGACCACAAACACGTGGAGCACAAACATTAGATCCCAATGACATGGACCACAAATACTAGACCACAATCGTGTGGCACCCCTGCAGAGCCAGTTGTCCTTGCTCCATCAAACACCCCTGCCCCCCAGTGCCTTGGGCATCAAAATGCAGTTGACTTCATGTGACTGGAACAGGGGCAGGGGCAAGGTTCAGGGTTAGCTCAAGCCTTTCTGAGTTCCCTTCTCCATCGAAGATGCTGGGAGCCAGGGAATGATACTGACTTGTGTGCAGAAATACAAACACTGAATCATATTTAGTCTCTTTTCCATCTTATTGATCCAGTATACTACCTATCTAGGTCCTAGTTAATGAGATAGGTGAGTAACCAGGTGTTTCTATCTTTGTCACCCATCACTGGTGGTGACTACACTCGTATTGCTCTCAGGATCTTCCAATAATGCCTTAAGTCAGAAAAAAGAACTGGACTCCTGAGGTACTGTGTGAGCCAGGACGAGCATAGAGCTAGCCACACAGCTCACCCCTCTTTAGCCTGAGAGCCACCCTATGCAAGGCAATGGCACAACAGCAACTATTTCAACACCAGAAGTCACTGTTATCCAGTCCACTCTGACTCATAGCAACCCTATAGGAAATCCAAGAACTGCTCCTAGGGTTTTCCAGGCTGTAAAGTTGACCGAAGCAGTTTCTTCCAAGGAGCAGCTGGTGAGTTTCAGCTGCCAAGCTTTTGCTTAACCCACTGTGCCACCACAGCTCCTAAGCATAGTGGTGCTGATGATAGTTCTTTCTCATTGGTATAATGGGCTCATTCCTTCAGCATCTCTGCTGAGCTTCGAGGACCTCATAAAGCACAGTCTACAGACTCCAGTACAAGTCCACATTCTCATTAAATTAAATTCAGACTTCTGGTGTGACACTGTGGGATCAGCACTAAACTGCAAACCACATTATCGGCAGTTCAAATCCACCAGTTGGCTCCTCGGAAACCCTATACAGGGTTGCCTAGGAGTCAGAACTGACTCAATGCCACTTAACAACAACAAATTAAATTTGGACCCATAGAAGGGCAGTTACAGGCTAGGATCACACAGCCTAATGGTCGCTCCCGACAACAAGACTAATGACTATGTGGCTGCTAGGGTACCGTCTAGAACATCTTTTACGCAGAACACATATTCTACTCCTCTGCCAGCTGACGTGCCATTTTACTTTATTCAGTTCTCCCTTAACAGCTTTCAAGAAAAAAGGGTCAAGAAATACCAATACCTGGCTTGTCACATCTAAAGAATGCCCTGTGCCTTTGTTCAGTGAAATACAAGAATTTATATTGCATGTTTTTGATCTATAGAGGACTTGTTCAGGGCCCGTTCCCACATCTTTCCACTAACTCACTATGTCATTTCTGAAATTATTGACGACACAATTGAACCATGAATAAAAAGCAGACCTTTAGACTAGTCCTGAACAAAGGGATGTTCTGAGTGAAGTCTGGAGATGTGGCCAGGATCAGAGCTGACCCTGGGTGTGATATGCTATTCTGCCAGCATAGACCATGCATCTCATGGGGCAGACAATTAATTTCCCAGCTCATTGGGCATCTCCATTTATATTTGGGGCTTCTTTAATTGGCTGTATGAACCAGGTGAGTCATTTAAACTTTCTGAGTCGGTTTCCTGAGTACACTGGACATTCTATTTTTATTACCTCCCCTGCTTACCTCCCTCACAAGACTGGTATCCGTCAGCATTCTCCCCAGAAACACAACCAACAGGATGGAAATATATGCTCATGTTGTTGTTGAGTGCCGTCAAACCAGTTCCGACTCACAGCATCCCGGTATAGGGTTTCCAAGGAGAAACCAAAGGGTTTGAACTGCTGACCTTGTGCTTAGCAGTTCAGTGCTTATACCACAGGCTAACACCTGCACATCAACATCTAGATATCCAGGTAGGTGGATCTCTAGATCTATAGATATCTACATAGATATTTGTCACCATCAAATACATATCCACTGTCAGGTACAAGGGGACACTCCCATAGGTTTCCAAGGCTACCATCTTTATAGTACCATACTGCCACATCTTCTCCTAAGTGGCTGGTGGGTTCAAACCACAGACCTTGAGGTTAGCAGCCAAGTACTTAACCACTGCACCACCACAAAGAGAGAAAATGTATATATAGTATTCATAGAGAGTGTTTGGTGGTGGTGTTTATGTGCTGTGGAGTCAGTTACGACTCATAGTGACCATGTATTGTGTTCCTGAGGCTGTAAAACTTTACAAGAACAGAAAGCCTCATCTTTCTCCTGTGGAATGGCTGACCGTGAGATTAGCAGCCCGACTCATAACCACTACAGTATCAGAACTCCTGTATGGGGAATATATATGTTTATATAGGTATGTATATGTTTATATATGTAGGTCTATAGGTGTGGCGCTGTAGGATCAGCACTGGACTTTGAACCACAAGGTCAGCAGTTCAACCCCACCAGCTGCTCCTTGGAAACCCTATACAGGGTCACTATGAGTCGGGAACCTACCCGACAGCACTTAACAACAACATAGTATTTATATGTATCCATTGAGAGTCCTGTTGAGGTGCTGTGGGTTAATGCACTGGACCGCAAAGTCGTTTGAACTGCAAGGTAGGTGGTTCAAGCTCACCAGTCACTCCTCAGAAACCCTATGAAGGGTCACAATGAGTCAGAACCAACTCTACAGCACTTAACAACAACATAAATACACATATGTATAATGAAAGTGATTTATCTTAAGGAGTTGGCTCATGCAATGGTTAGACTAAAGTTTGGAAAGCAGGCCAGCTGGCTGGAAACTCAGAACAAGTTACAATCTTGAATTGGAATCTCCAGCAGGAATTCTATGTCACTTCTGGGGCAGAATCCCTTCTTCCCCAGAAAACTTCAGCTTTTGCTCTTCAGGCTTTCAACTGATTGGATGAACCACCCCCCACGTGTTCAAATGGTACTTCTCTTTGTGTAGAACCAACCACATCTACAAAGTACCTTCCCAGCTATAACAGCATCTAGACTAGTATCTGACCAAACAACTGGCACATCCAATTAGCAATCACAGCGGCAATATGAGAACTAAATGAGAAAAGTACTCTGCACATTTCAAAGGGTTCACCACCTGCTGCAATGCCTCTGCATTCTGCAGGATCTGTTTTCAAACTTCACAGGCAGTTATATCTTAAAAGGAGTGCTGGTGCAGCTCTGTAAGATAAACACTGGACTGCTAACCACAAGGTCAGCAGTTCCAACTCACTAGCCACTCCTTGGAAACCCTGTTCAGGGTCGCTGTGAGTTAGAATGGACTTGATGGCACTTAACAATAACAACAACAACAACCATGATTGTGATTTCACTGCCTTCTGCATAACTTGTTTCTAAGCTTTACAGCCTTCGGGGCATACACATGTGTGTGTTGTCCCTTTGCATAGAATCATCTTCCCTAGATATCCATACAGCTCACCCCCTCACTTCCTTCAACTCTCTTCTCAGAAAGGCCCTTCCAGACCACCCAACTCCAAAATGCATCCTCTCCTAGCTTCCTTTATCCATTTACTCTGATTGATATCTCAGTATAACTGTTATCACTAATATCGTAGTACATCTCATTTTTAATTGTTAGTAAGGAGCTCTGGTAGCGTAGTGGTTACGAATTGGGCTGCGAACCTTAAGGGCAGCAGTTCGAAACTACCAGCCACTCCGCAGGAGAAAGATGAGGCTTTCTACTCTCGTAAAGATTTACACCCTCGGAAACCCTTACAGGGTCACTATGGGTCAGAACCGACTCGATGGCACTTAACAACAACATAGTATATATTGTTTTTTAAATTATTTTCTGTTGTTCCCCAGTAGAATGTGAGCTGCATAAGAGCCAAGACTATGTCTAACTCCTTTCCCACCATATTCCTGGTGCCTAGAACAGTGCCTGACACATAGTAGGAACCTTGTCAACGTTTGTAGAAGGTAGAAATAGAGAATGAGGAAACTCGAAGTCAGAGTGAGACGGCATGTTCTGACAAGCTGTCATTCCTAGAAAAGGAGGAGACACTTAACCTGTCTTAAAACACAGTTTATTTGCCAAATAAACTATGGGGTTGGAAGGAAATGATGATCCAGCAGAAAAAAAAGACAAGGACCAAGGCACAAAGAAGGAAAATCACCACCAGGCTAGGGGAACTCAGGTAGTTCCGTGTGGCTGTAGCCTAAGCATGGAGGAGAGAGGGGAATGAACAAGGCTGATAGGTTAGGCAAAAGCCACAGCTGAAAAGCTTGTATTGTGATTCAGAGGGGCTTTATTCAAGGCTTTATTCTGAGTGGCAGAAACAGTTAAATGCTCCACTACTCATCCAAACCTTAGCTGTTTGAAACCACCCAGAGGCACCTCAGAAGAAAGGCCTGGTGATCTGCTTCTGAAAGGTCACAGCTTTGAAAACCCTGTGAAGCAATTCTCCTCTGTATACAGGGGGTCACCATGAGTTGGAATGAACTTGATGACAGCTGATTTAGAACATTACACTAGAAGCCAGAGGGGTCCAGGCAGATGTGTAAGGTAAGCATGTTGTGAGTTGACCAGATGTACATTTCAGAAAGAGCCCTCAAGAAATGGGTTGCAGAAGGACAAGGCAGGGGACAGGGAGGTCTGGCAGGAGCTTTGGCCATGAACTGATTAATGACTCTGAGGAGATGAGGCAAACCAGAGACAGACAAGGTCCACCTGAGCTCTCAGAGCACAGACAACAAAGGTGAAGGAAGATTCCAGGCTCCCAGCTCCAGTGCTCCGCCCATCACACAGGCCTGATAAGTCAGTGTCCAGGCAGGAATATAATTTCAGTAGGCTAAGCACTGGACTGCCAGCCTCTAGGTTGTCAATGCAAACTCATCAGCCATTCCTCAAGAAAGATGAAGCTTTCTTCTCCCATTGAGGTTCACAAGCTCAGAGACCCTGTGCAGGGTCATTGGAAGTCAGAATCCACTCAATGGTAGTGAGTTGGGTTGGGTTTTAGTGAACCCGCATGGTTGTCACTGTTTGATTTACATTGTCCCATCCCATCCTCCTGCGATCCTTTCCACTTTGTAGATGGGAAAAGCAAAGTCCAAAAGGAGCTTTCCCAGCTCATACATCCAGTAAGTCATGGAGGCAGGGTTAGAATCTACAGCAGCAGACCTCATACTCAATGACCAGTGTGTAGGCAGGGGTCCAGCCAGCCCTCAGATGTCCTCTTCATCTCTCTCTTACTTCCTGCTGCTTTGGTTCATTCATAGGCATCAGCCACGGCTCAGTGGTAGCTGGCGTTATTGGTGCAAAGAAACCCCAGTATGACATTTGGGGCAAAACGGTGAACCTGGCCAGCCGGATGGACAGCACAGGGGTCAGTGGCAGGATCCAGGTTCCAGAGGAGACCTATCTCATCCTGAAAGAGCAGGGCTTTGCCTTCGACTACCGAGGGGAGATCTACGTCAAAGGTATCAGTGAACAGGAAGGAAAAATCAAAACGTACTTTCTGCTGGGAAGAGTCCAACCCAACCCATTCATCTTGCCCCCGAGAAGACTACCCGGGCAGTACTCCTTGGCCGCTGTTGTCCTGGGTCTTGTGCAGTCCCTCAACAGGCAACGGCAGAAACAGCTGCTCAATGAGAACAACAACACGGGGGTCATCAAAGCCCACTACAACCGGCGGACTTTGTTGACGCCCAGTGGACCCGAGCCCGGAGCCCAAGCCGAAGGCAATGACAAATCCGATTTGCCATAAAAGCATTTTCTTTGTGTTTCTTTTTTTGTATTTCTTTTATATATAAAATAAATATACTAATAAAAAGGTTTAATTTTTTTTAGAACAAGGATGGTTTTATTGGTCTCTGGTGCCCCAGGTCAAAGGCACAATTTGTGGTTCTCCTCAATCAGAAGCGTTTATTGATCCCCTCTTGTTTACAAGGGGCATGGGGAAGCAGAAATAAATAAGACGCAGCTTCTGATTGTAAGAGGCTTACAGGTGCGTGTGAAAGAGGCCAGGTACACAGAGACTCAGTATAACGGCAGAATCCATAAGAGCTGCCAATTTTGTGGAGGGCCAAGGAACCCTGGTGGTGCAGTGGAATAAGCGCTGGACTGCAAACCCCAAATTCAGCAGTTTCAACCCACTACCACCCATGAACAAAGATGAGTCTGTTGGCTCCTGTAAAGATTTACAGTTTCAGAATCCATAAGGAACAATTCTGCCCTGTTCTCCAGGGTCACTAGGAGTCGGAATCAACTTCATGGCACTGGGTTTGGTTGTCTAGTGCCAGACCCAGTAGCAAACTCTTTACATAATAACATCATGCCATCCTTCCACCTGCAGGCACATTCGCTCCGCCTTGTGTCCAAACTGCTCTAGGCACTCCAGAACACTGCCCTCATAGGCCAAACATTCAGTGTGAAGGAAGATAGACAATAGACATATGAACCAGTGCGTAACAGTCCACTTTCAGACGGGATAGATGCCATAAAGGGGATTGTAGGACAGTAGGGATCGAGAACCCTTGGTTCTGAGTACAGGAGTGCTGAGATAGATAAATTAGCATCACCAGGAAGCCTTCTATGAGGAAGTAACATTGAAGATTAGACATAAATGGTAAAGAGGGAGCCCATATGGACCAGGAAATGAGTGGTCCAAGCAGACACAGCAGCACATGCAAAGGCCCTGAGGTAGGATCCCGACATGTTGGTGTGCTCCAGCAAATTGAAGAACAAGGGGGCAAGATGGTGCTGGGCCTCTCCCATTTGATCACCAAGAATCCCACCCTGCGAGCATCTGGCCTCAGCTCCACCCTCCGCCCCTAGGTCAGCCTGTTTCCTAATTACCAACAGTCGTTCCATACTGAGGGCTAGGGCAGAGACAGGAAAAGAAACAGGCTTTCTGAAATTAGAGCTGTTCTCTGTTTGCCTACTTCCGTGGCTTGCTCAAGCCACTTACGTCAAATGCCACATTTCTGGGAACCGGGTCCAATTCTGAAGGCTAGCATGTATTCCAGTCATTTAAACCTCAACACTTCCCCCCCTGACCACATCTTGTGAGATGTGGACCCCCAGGATCTTAATAACTGCTACTGACTCAGATTTAGAAATGCCAAGTGTCAGCCCAGGTAGAGGGAACAGAGCCCCAAATGACAAAATGCAAAAGCAGCATAGAATGGAGACTGCCTTAGCCCAGCTGGGCTTCGGCCCAACAGGCTTTCTCGATGGCTCTGTTTTCTCAATGCAATGATGGTGTTGTTGTTGTTAAGTGCCATGGAGTCGGTTCCGACTCATAGTGACCCTGCACAGGGTTTCTGAGGCTGTAAATCTTTACGGGACCAGACCACCTCATCTTTCTCCTGCGGAACCACTGGTAGTCTCAAACTGCTGACCTTGAGGTTGGCAGCCCGACTCATAACCACTACGCTACCAGAGCTCCTTTAATTCAATGATAGTTATCTCTCAATGCCCATCCAGGTTCAAGGTGACCTGGCCATTCACCTACGTAGGTCATGCACAATTTCCCAAGACAAACACAGCCCTGCCTGGAGACCAGGCAAAGATGTCTAAAGCATTCATCCAAGACTGGGGTTGAGGAACCTCCTCATCAGTCATCTTGCAGCTCAGACATGCCTCTCCCTCTGACTTAACTGCCACATTCCCTCTTCAGAAACCTAAGATTGCAGCTGCTCTCAACTGGTAGGAAGCACTGTGTCATCTTCTTCCTCCCTCAGATGAGTTCACAGAGGCATAGAGAAGCTGAGTAAATGGCAAAGCTGGGATTCAAACGCAGCTGGTTGAGCTCCAGCCCTTCAAACCTCACCTATTCCCATGCTGAGTGAATAACATTCATGAAATGAAAGCTAAAACCCAGAACTGAATACCCCCTACCCACCCACCCAGTGGTGTAGACTGTGTAGGTTGGGGGAGGGGCACAGGAACTCTGGAATGGCCGCCCTTGGAACAGCTTTGGGTCACTGAATTCTGGTCCTAAACAGCCTCATCCTCGTACCCAGTGATTCAACCAACTATAGACATAATTGGGTGATACTGACACATCAGTTCCAGGCAATCAAGCGAAGTTCCCAGTCAAGCACATCACACAAATATTCTGGTTTCCCAGCCGGTGTGAAAGTTCGTTTTACCCTCCACTGTACTCTCGGACATGTACAATAGTATGATGAGTAAGGTAAAAAGATTGTGGGAATGACAAAAATGGGGCACAGACACAAGCAAGCACATGATGCTGGAAAAATGGCGCCAATAGACTTGTTGGATCCACAAAACTCCCATTAGGGAAAGCCGCCATATCTCTAGGTCATAACAAAGCAAAACACAATAATGCAAGATATGCCTATTTTATATAATAAAGGGGACAGCTGTGATTTGAAGTTCTGAAAATTTCAGACTGAAGAACTCTACTGTGTGGAAGGAAAGCCTCCCCAGTGGGTCTGAAGCTAGTATGTATACACTAACCAACTGTGTGAGTACTTAGTAACAAAACATGAATGTTCACATTCAGTTTCATAGCTAAAGTCTATAAATAGACTCACCTCTGTTCTGGCCACTATTTTGCCCCAGATTAGCTTTTACACACGCTTCAGTGAGACAGCTGTTTGGATTTTGGGATTGTGAACACACCTCAGAAGGTTGCTGTGAAGATAAAAGTTGTCCCAGTTACTTAGTGTTTCTGGAACAGAGATACCTCTGGTGGATGGCTGTAACTGTCTCACAGTTCAGGAAGCTAGAATTTGAAACTGGAGGCACGAGCTTTCAGGAAAGGCGTCCTCTCTCTGTTGGCTCACAGTGCAGGGGACAATAAGTCCTTTCTGTATCTGTGACCCAGCGTTCCTTAGAGATCTTCGTGGGCCTTGGCATCAGTCTTCCCCTGGGTCTAGGAGGTCCCTGGACTCAAAGGGCACACTCCACTCCGGGGCTCTCCTTTCTTGGTGGTAGTAGCTCCCTCTCGCCTCTGCTCACTCTTTTATATCTCAAAAGAGATTGACTCAAATTGCAACGTAATCCTATAGATTGTATCCTGCCTGTTTAGCATAGCTGCCTCTATTCCTAGCTTATTAACATCATAAAGGTTAGGACTGACAACACACAGGATAATTATAAGGAGCAAGGTGGATCTTCAGGATAAGCACTAGACTGCTAACCACAGGGTCCTAGATCCGAGCCCACCAGCCACTCCGCTGGAGAAAGATGAGGCTTTCCGCTCCCATGAAGATTTACAGCCTCAGAAACCCTATGCGGTTGGCACCAACTCAGTGGCACTTAACAATAGGATAGTTACATCGGATCTCAAAATGGGGGATAATGACATTATACTGAGAATCCTGACCCAGCCAAGTTGACACATATGGTGTGATGAGGAGGTGGGGGGTGGGCATGATTCAATCCATAACCATGGAGAACAGTTCCTTTAAAGCTCTTATCAGCTGTAAGCATTTGCAATTTTCCTTTGCCTTTATATATATAATTGAGAAAACGTAAAATATGTAGGGTTTGCTTCAACGGCTGCAGAAGGTTTCAGGAATCACTGAGCTCACCTGAGCTGAGTTGGAGCAGCTGGACCACTCAGGGAGGGAGCCGGATATGATGCAGGTGGGGGGCCTGTGAATAGCCGTGACTGGAGCTCCCCCCAGTGGGAAGAGAAAGAAGTTCCCCAGGGCCCTAAGGGCTGCTGACCCAGATTTCAAGGCGACCCTCTGTCCTTTTAGATGCCATCAAGAAAGGGGTGTTGAAAATTCATTTCCTTCCCTGACATTTTTACTCCAGACCCACGGGCCCAGTGCCAACCAGCATTTGCAAGTGAGATCGCCATCGCTCTCCATTAGCTGTGGGCTCCAAACAACAGAACCCAATGTTTTATTAATGAGTTACCAGGGGGCAGGGTGCCCCACAGAATAACATCCTATGCCTATCTGAATTATTAATTGCATACAGCCACCACACTGCTCTAACCATCAGCTCCCTTCTGCCTCAGGAAGATAATAAGGCCATTGATGGAGTGAATATGCAAAGCATCGCGTGAATTCAGACATCTGCCTTTTACCTTTTACTCACAGTCTGCTTCTGTGTGGAAATAATTATTCCAAATGTGGTCTTTTCAGATTCTGGTCCTTATTTTGACATTATCACAACCATCACAGCCACAGGAATGAACATCGTCAATCCATTTCCAAATAGGATTCCAGCTGATCTACCTAAGCCTGATTTTTAAAGTCTTTATATTTTATTCTCTTACTATTTTATTATTTCTATTTTATAGGAACTGGGGCTCCTAAAATTAACTTTTTAATACATTTAAGACAGATTATAAAGGATCAAGGCCAAAATACAAGTAAAGATCTTATGTGGCCCCAAGTTTTAGGTGTACACATAAAGAAATGAAGGTCCAAAGAGTAGGATTCAACTCCCAGAAGTGAAGAGTCTCCAGTCAGAGTGGAGGGGCGAACTCCTTAACACTCTCCAATGTGAGCTCTGTAACAGAATGCCAGTCCCCGTGCCCCAGAGGATCTGAATGAGATGACTGAGACCCCCAGGGAAGCCCCATGATGCCTAGGGGAGGGGAGGGAAGCTATACTTAAATGTTAAGCCCTGGGCTGCTAACCAAATATCAGTAGTTTGAACTCATCAGCTGCTCTCTATGGGAGAACAATATGACCGTCTTCTTCCACAAAGATGGCGACACTGGAAACGCAATGGGGTGGTTCTACTACGTCCTATGGTTGTGGTGGTGGTCAAGTG